TGGATGTGATGAGTTGAGATTCATGTACTTTACAGTGTATTCATCTTGGGGAAGGAAGACAACAAGATACTACAATCATGGACAAAAGTCTCAGGACAAATTTGCACTTTTGGCGCTTTTGCGTACGCGCCAGGCACGAATACAACTTCACCTGCCTAACCTCACCCCCCCACCCCCCATACAATGTTGAAAACTAGCACATGCAATTTCACCTGATTTTCAACATTGTGTTGNGGGGGGGGGCAGATACCCATTTATAAAGGATATAACAGCGTTTTCTTCATACTTCAGTTCTAAAACACAGATAATCTGCTACGTTACATAAGTATCCCAAGGACTTTTGTCCACGATAGTAGGTATGGCAGCTCTAATGACTGCAGCACTGCAGGGGTTACCACCCAAGGAGTGTTTAATTTTTGCCTTTCCCTGTTCTATAACCAGGGAGGTAGAGTCAAGGCAGGCTCAAAACAAGTTAGCTCAAACAGAATGAGATGGAGAGCAGTTCCCGTGACTCTACACTCCGTAGGATGCGGAAAGGAATGAGTTGACTAAGTCTGAGTGCAACCTCTCTTTACAGACAGTATTTACAGGGGGATGGACTGTATCCCCTAAATTGCTGAGGGAGGAAAGGCTGCAACTACAAAGCAATGCAAAAACCAACAGTTTTATTTTGCTTATTTACCCAAATTAACTCACAATTTCCAAACACAGTACGATAAGCTAACTTCCATCATTAGAAACCAATAATATCCTCAAGTTCTTTTTTTTTTTTTTAATTTAACCTCAAGCTGAGTTGCATTTGAACTCAAAAGTTCATTATATCTCAGTCTATTGTTAAATCTGATCACACAAAATTACTGTTGCTATCCCATTGATTTTTAACCTGTTTCAGTTACAAAAGAATGTAAAGCCTAGCTAGACTTTACTCAAGAAAGCTGATAATTAAAACTATTCCTCAAGCTGGCCACTGATAATTAACTTGAAAGAAAAAGGGTTAAACTTGTATCCTTGTCCTTGATAAAATTTGGACTGGAACTCGACCCTAACAAACAAGGAAATGAAAAGATTATGAAAAAATAAATATTTCCAATAAACACTCCAATTGAGAAAGAAGAAGAAACAAAGCAGTCTCAATATGTGATTCTTGAAAACGGCTGGTGGAATATATTTAGCTCTTATTAACCAAGCGAGAGGTCTGTATGGGAGAATCTTGACCACACCGAATGCTGCGGGGTCTGTACACATGACCGAGGTCAAGATTCTCCCATACAGACTGAAAAAACTCAGTCAATAAGATGTTAATTATATGGCAAACAGGAAAAAATCAATTCATTTAATGTAACTTCCACTTCCATGGGATAAATATTTTTAGAAGAAAATAGTAAATATTTTTGTATTTTAGTTTGCAACTTTTTCACTGCAAAATTGTAACTGGTCTAGATGGGAAAACCTAGATCATGGTCAGTATTGATTTCAGCCAATCAAATTCGTGAATTTGGTAGTTCCCAGTCCTTGTGAGGCAAAGCCATATAACAACATTCATGACAGACTATGGTTTACCACATTTCCCAATTAGTAAGAAGAGAGATGAAAATATGACAAGTTGGCAACTGGATATTTTTGATGAACTTCGAGGCATTTGGAAATGTGGCAAGACACTGTCTCGAGTGTTTCACATTATAATCAAAACTAAATCTAAGGAGAAATCATAAAAATCTATGCTATTTAAGATCAGACATCCAAACATATTTATCACAGTTATGATTTCCCTTGTTTAAAGTTTTATTACGAAGTATTATTAAGAAATCTTTGCACCTCGTTGAATAATAATGCTAATATAAGCCATGGGTTTGTTCACCACTTCATTTACCAAAACTAGCAAACCTGGTCATGACTGTGCACAGTCTCTCATTTTAAACTTGAACTCCATGTCTAGTCAATTGGCTGGTGATGTTTCTTAATAATAAGTTCCTCTGATGCAAAAATCCAATTTCACATTATGATTCTGGTTGGATGTCCAAAACTCATTTTCTCAACTGCACAGAAAGCAAGATACATTTAGGAAATCTTACCAATGGAGACGAAGAGCATGCAAGAAGGCAGACAGACCCTCCATGATCAACAGGATAGCGACAGTGAGCACTGAAAATAAAGCACAGTATAAATACCTGAACTTAAGCCAACCTCTATTCTGAGGTTGAGCCTCTGCACTTAAGGACAGTCCCTCGAAAAAAAAAAAAAATCCTAAGCACTACCTCTGAACATGTTTCTTACCACTGAACAACAAGGCGACACATGGAAACAGAAATCAAATTTTAACACTACTGCCTCCTATGGTCTCTAAAAGGGGTCTGACAATTGCAGCTGACTCCAAGTGTTGTTCTGACTATGGCATGCAATCAACCATGAAACAACCAGGTTATAATGCAGTGGACAAAAGAAACACTGACCTGCCCAGAATGCAAACAGAGCAAAGGAGGCAACCACACCAAGCCCTCCCTTGAATGTTAGAGCCAAGTGGAGCACCATGGTCCATAGCACTTCTGACAGCTCTGCGACATGAACAAACCAATCAGATAAATCAACTGCACACCCTAGCTTTTGATTTTCTACCAAAACTGTGACAAAGAATACTCATAAACATGCCTTGTCAATGTCACCAAAGGTAACAAAAGATATTTTCCTGTGAGGGCTTAATGCAAAGTCAATAGGCAGCTTATTTCCTCACCTGCATGAGCCAAACTTAATGCCCACAGCCGCAGGTAAGAAGCCGTGTTGGAGATACAACCAAGGCAGTACTCAATAGTATGGATTGCCTGGTGTACAAATATCTCCCCAAAATCAAACTAGAAATGGGGAAAAAATAAGAAAATACATATTAAGACAGTTAATCAATTTCAATAATATAAGTTCTTATCTGAATTCTTATTTGCTGCTCCCCTGAAATTTCAAGCTGAGATTGTTCATTTTTTTAGGGTGCCTGTACATAGAATCATTTCACAAATGCTGGTCTAGTTGCTTTGATGTAGTCCAATGCTATAACTATGTAAGAATGCAAGTCCATCGTAGGTAAATCTCTCTGCAATTCATGTCAGGTTCCCCTATCAGTTCACTGGTACCAACTCATACATCTAAGTACAAAGTGGCACTATGGGATTATCCCAGTGTATTGCCCTAAAACACACCTCAGAGACCCTGGCCAACAATTGAACATGGTCATTCCAGAGTCCAACATTTTAACCATTTTGCTACTGCATTCCAATGAGTCCCACAAATTTCAAGCACCCTGTTTTCCTCTTAAATGTTAAATTTCAAATAGAGAGATGTTTTAATGTTTTATCTGGCAGAGTCACAGTTGTATCTTTTTGTTTTTTTCCTGATTAAGGCATTTTTCTAAAGAGTCTCTAAAATTAAACAGAGTAAAAACGTATTTTCCACTGCTATGCAGCTGATTCAGCTCATTAGCACTTGTTTATTGCTTATTAAGTAGTTCCAAGCCCCAAGACGCGTGTCCAGAGATTCTGTTGTGGCGATACATTTGCAGTATTTAAGTGGAAAATAATTTACGTTTGAGCAGAGCAAATTAGAACACAAGCGCTTTTTAAATCTGATCACACTAAGCCTGGTTGAATAATAACAGAACTAACAGCAGCCTAACCTCTTCATGAACGTCATCGTCA